GCAGCACTATACACTATCTGTTGTGCCAAGACACACGAAAATGAAACACGTAAACACTGAATAAGGTGAAAAAACACCTTATTCCAGGTGAAGGTTTTTTGTTTCCTGAGGGAGGAATGGCTGGTGTGTGAGAGCACTCAGTAACAAGTACGGACAAAATGAGAGTTTCAACAAAACTCTAGTGACTGCGATTTCAACTTGAAAATGGTGAATAGATTGAGGGGTGGGTAATGGTGTACATTAAAGACATATATATTTGATAAAGATACATATGTGGTGTACAAAGATATTTTACTCATTGTTATAAATTGTAATCTGGTGGTCTCAGAATAAGAAGTTTTATGTAAAATAACTATTTTCAGTACTTTTACAGTGAAATGGGTTTTAAAAATATAGGTGTCCCCAGCAGAGCCATCCTGGGACACTGAACATCCATTTTAGGTCCTATTTACCAAGCAGGTGCTACAGCAGGGGGATAATGAATTTTATTGAAACAAACACATCTGTGCAGAGCATAAAATCATAGAATACACTCATAGAACCATTTGAGTTGGAAGAGACTTTTAAGATCATTGAGTCCAACTGTTAACGCAGCACCACCAAGATACCACTAAACCATGTCCCTAAGTGCCACATCTACACATCTTTTAAACACCTCCAGGGATGGTGACTCAATCACTTAGCTGGCCAGCCTGTTCCAAGGCTTGGAAACCCCTTTGATGTAGGAATTATTCCCAATATCCATTTTAAACATCCCCTGGCACAACTTGAGGATGTTTCCTCCTGTCCTATCTGTCCTCTTCTCCCTGTTCCTTGGGAGAAGAGACATCCCCCCCCTCCCTCCAGATACACCCTCCTTTCAGGTAGTTGTAGAGAGCAAGAAGGTCTCCCCTCAGCCTCCTTTTCTCCAGGATGAACACCCCCAGAAAACAGGGTTGATAATAAGGGGTGGTTTTGCTATTGCTATTGCTTTTGTTATTGCTGAGCAGAGCTTACGCAAAATCAAGGCCTTCTCTGTTTCTCACCCCACCCCACCGTTGGCTAGGCTGGGTTGTGAAAGAAATTGGGTGGGGACACAGCTGGTGGAATAAAAATCAAGCAGGCAATGTGCACTTACAGCCCAGAACATAATTCATGCCCTGGGCTGCATCAAAAGAAGTGTGGCCAGCAGGTCGAGGGAGGTGATTCTGCCCATCTACTATGCTCTTGTGAGACCCCACCTGGAGTACTGCATGCAGCTTTGGAGTCCTCAGCACAAGGAGGACATGGACCAGTTGGAGCATGCCCAGAGCAGGGTGATGAAAGTTATCTGAGGACTGGAGCACCTCTCCTTTGAAGAAAGTCTGAGAGAGTTGGGGTTGTTCAGCCTGAAGAAGAGAAGGCTCCGGGGAGAATTTACACTGGCCTTCCGGCACCTGGAGTACTGCATCCCGCTCTGCAGTCCCCAGCACAAGAAGGATATGGACCTGTTTATTTGAGCAAGTCCAGAGGAGGGCCACATAGATGATCAGAGAGTTAGAGCTCCTCTCCTGTGACAACAGGGTGAAAGAGTTGGGGTTGTTCAGCCTGAAGAAGAGAAGGCTCCGGGGAGAATTTACACTGGCCTTCCGGCACCTGGAGTACTGCATCCAGCTCTGCAGTCCCCAGCACAAGAAGGATATGGACCTGTTTATTTGAGCAAGTCCAGAGGAGGGCCACATAGATGATCAGAGAGTTAGAGCTCCTCTCCTGTGACAACAGGGTGAAAGAGTTGGGGTTGTTCAGTCTGGAGAAGAGAAGGCTTCAGGGAGACCTTATTGTGGCCTTTCGATATAGTCAGGGGGCTTATGAACAAGACTTAAAGACTTTTTAACAAGGCCTGTAGTGACAGAACAGGGTGCAACAGTATTAAACTGAAAGAAGATAGATTTAGATTAGACATAAGAAAGGAATTTTATACAAAGAAGGTGGTAAGACACTGGCACATGTTGCCCAGAGAAGTTGTGGATGCCCCATCATTGAAAAGGTTCAAGGTCAGATTGGACAGGACTTTGAGCAACCTGGTCTAGTGAAAGATGTCCCTGCCCACAGCAGGGGGGTTGAACAAGTCAATCTTTGAGGGTCCCATCCAAACCAAACCATTCTCTGATTCTCACATATCTGAGCAGCAGTTTTGGGCAGGCTTTGCCCTGTGACAGAAGTGTGGGGCTTCCTCAGGTGCTGAGGCTCTTTTACAGGTTGGGACTGATTGCTGGCATGTTTCTCTTCCCATCACATCTTGTTAGAAGTATACAGTGCAGCTGTGAGGAGGAAGTGAGAAAGACCATGCTGGATTTTGTCTTTCTAGGATGTTCTATCCAGTGAAACACCACAAGAGAAAGGGAGATGGGAGGAAAATACAAGTTTGAGACATATCCAAAAGTCCCTTACAACTCCCTTTTTTTTGGCAGTTTGCCATGAAAAACCTACTAGGCTGCACCCAGGTACAGTCAGCTGCCCTTTATGGAGGAGCTGAAAGGAGAATGTGTGTACAGCCTGTCAGCACCTCCAGCTACCACCACTTTGTGACCCTCCAGCAGAGACTGAGCAGACCATGCTGCCTGGAGAGCAGCTCCAGCTCATCCACCCACCAGCTAGCACATGCCACATTGAAACCAGCTGTTCATTTACCAGCAGTTCTGGCAAACTGGGGAGGTCCCAGCTGACTGGCGTCTGGCAAATGTGATGCCCATCCACAAGAAGGGTTGGAAGGATGATCCAGAGAACTACAGGACTGTCAGCCTGACCTCGGTGCCTGGGAAGATCATGGAACAGATCATCCTGGGTGCCATCATGCAGCACATGAAGGACACCCATGCGATCTGGCCCAGCCAGCACGGGTTCACCAGGGGCAGGTCCTGCTTGACAAACCTGATCTCCTTCTATGACAAAGTGACCCGCTTGCTGGATGAAGGAAAGGCTGTGGATGTTGTTTATCTGGACTTTAGCAAAGCCTTTGATACAGTCTCCCACAGTATCCTCCTGGAGAAACTGGCTGCCCATGGCTTGGATGGGAATAACCTCTGCTGGGTTAAAAACTGGCTGGAGGGCCGGGCCCAGAGAGTGGTGGTGAATGGAGTTAAATCCAGCTGGCGTCCAGTCACGAGTGGTGTCCCACAGGGCTCAGTATTGGGGCCAGTTCTCTTTAACATCTTTATCAATGATCTGGACGAGGGGATCGAGTGCACCCTCAGTAAGTTCGCAGACGACACCAAGCTGGGTGGCAGTGTTGATCTGCTGGAGGGTAGAGAGGCTCTGCAGAGAGATCTCGACAGGCTGGATCAATGGGCCGAGACCAACGGGATGAGGTTCAACAAGGCCAAGTGCCAGGTCCTGCACTTCAGTCACAACAACCCCAGGCAGCGCTACAGGCTGGGGGCAGAGTGGCTGGAG